GATTGTACAGTATAGCTGAAATGGCTGCCAAAACCCTAAAACGAGAAAATTTAAACAGGATAAAATAGTCAAAAATAATCCATAGATTTTTTTAAATATAAGAATTTTAATGTATATATTATATATAAAAACATTTTTAACATACATCCATAGAATATTTTTTTAAAAATAAGAATTTTAATGTATATAATATATAAAAACATATTCAACAAACAGTATACATAAATATATGTATAATTATATGTATTCAATACAGAGTACAAGAAGCAAAGCGCTGATTCTTCAGTGCAGGAGCTAATGTGAAAAGTGCTGGAAACCAACCAATCAGAATTCCTCCTACTGGTCAGATCTGATGAATTACGATTGCTATTGGTTACTACAACTAGAGTAGAACTCCCATTTTTTTTCTTGGTTTAGGATAGAAAGAGGGAAATTTAAGGCCCTCTGTGAGGTCTTAATGACGGTTTACTATGGGGCCATGGTTAAGGTAGGTGGTTGTCCTTACTGTTTACAGAGGAATTCTTGACTGTGCTCCAATAACTCCATCGCTGCAAAACCTGCAGCTGGCATTTTTGATGCTTGGGTGGGTGAAATGGTCCCAGGTGGACCTTGATGATCATTGATGGCTATGCCTATATACATATATATATATCTTGCATACACACGTATTGCTATGTTTTGTGACCTTGATACAGAAGACATGCATGTCCCTGAAATGTCAGCTTATGGAATTAAAGTAAAATTTATTTCTTTTGCATTATGGCTTATTCTGACCTTGGATTTTTAATAACACTTCCTTGGTGGTTGGTTGGAGGTAGTGAAGCACAGTTTGTTGATTTAAAGGCTTTAATGGCTGCCTCAGCCCCATAAGAGGGGATTTCCCCTTACTTCCTATCCCAAAGTTAGAGCTTACCAAAGACAGGAAATAGGAACAATAGAAACACTTTGTAGTGTGGGGAAGGGTAGAAATTCTTGCAAGAGTTACACAACGCTTTGCTCTTCGTACTCTTTATTTAACAAGTGCAAAAAAAACAGCTGTAAAAAACAAACAACATTAACAATCAGATGCAATTTTTTTAAATAATCCTTTTTTTTTTATATAAAAATATAGAAAACTGATTTCATTTTAAAAGATAAAAGTCATTTTTCCTACTATGTCTATTTACTTTGAAGACACACAGGTGGAGACCGTCTTTCCTGTCACTTGGTTTTTTGTTTAATAACAGTAAAATAATAAGTGTAAGCCACAGACACCTCTGCTGTGTTACTGTTGAAGCCCATAACCTGGACATACACAATTTGGTTGTACAATCTCTGTCTGATTTTCCTAAACCATATAACATAAGGACCAACATTTATTTTAAAGCTAATCGGGTAATTCCTCCTACTATAGTGTTCGGCAAATCTATCATCTGTGAAGACTATACCATCAGATTGCACTGTGTATGGTTAGTTTAAAAAGTTCTTTTTTTCTTGCTCACCTTCCAACCCATTGATAGTTATCTTCCATGAATAAACAAAAATGGGATGTTTATACTCACAGTAAAAATCATTTTCTCTGCTTTAATTGAAGGACACAGCAGGATTTTTGGATTATGACCAATGGGTTATTGTGCCACCTACAGGAGCAGGATGCTAGGCATGACTAAAAAAAGAACACATCCTAGGGGTGGCCCCTGCTGGTGGCCAAACCCCTCATCTGCAACAAACACCTCAAGTAGTAGCCAGCAGTAAATAGGAACCATCACAAATTACACAGAGAGCAGGTACTGTGTCCTTTAATAAATGTAGAGAAAATGATTTTACAGTGAGCACAGAAATTCCCATTTTCTCTTCTATTCATTGAAGGACACAGCTGGACCTTTGGATCAGTCTTTCTCAACCAGGGTGTCCAGGCACCCTGGGGTGCCTTGAGGTTTCTTCAGGGATGCCTTGGCAAAATGTCCACAAATTGCCCAAAACTTGTATACAAGCCAGTGGGTGGAACAAGCCTGCCTTTTAGTTACACAAAGCCACAGGTTTTCATAGTGCACCATTACGACCTTCTAGCCACAGGCATCCTGACAGCCAATAACATCATCAGTTGATAAGGAGATTGTCAGCCGCCTACACAGCATCCTAGTTTGACCCTCCCCTGGCCCTCTCCATCAGTGCTTGGGCCACATTTAGCTCAGTGATGGAGAAAAACTGAGGGAGAAGAGAAACATTGGAATACTAGTCAGTACCAATGTGCAAAAGTGTATTGGCTTTGAAATAATAAATCAACTCTAATGCTGGGTGTCCTACACTTGTAGATGTTGCTGCATTATATAAAAAACTATTAGAATAGTTTTTCACATTTTAGAATGGGGTGTCTCAAGACTCTCCAGAATCTTAAAGGGTGCCTCGGGACTGTCCATAATTTTAAAGGGTGCCTTGACTGAAAAAAGGGTGAGAAACACTGCTTTAGATCATGACCAATTTGAATTCCCAAACCACTGTCAGAAGAGGGTGGGCTCAGAGTTAAACATGCAAACTTATTAATTACCACACCCCAGCAGAACTCAAGCGGCTACTTGAAAAACCTTATGGGCCAAAACGAGTGTCAGCAGGGAGAGCAATGCCAATTTTGTAGAACTGAGCTCTGTGTTGCTGATGGAGGTTTCGCCACCAGCAGAATAACTACTGTTGCAAGTAGCGCAAGAACACATTGGTCACAATCTGGCTGTGTCCTTTAAAATACAAAAGAGCAATAACAGATTATAAAATATATAAATGATTGCAGATCTGTAGTCATTAATGCATCATTAAGTATTTTTAAATGCCAGCAGGGGAATAAGCAACACAAGAAGCACAGTTGTAGGGCAGTGCTAGCAATTCACATACTGATAGAAGTAGAGAGCGAAGTGACAGGGAGATGAGCTAATTAGTCTTTAAGTGTTACTCAACTACATCTGAGAAAATCAGGTTTCCTGTCCTGTCAGACTGTGCTGTGTAGTAGAACTCTGTAAATCCCAGGACTGGCTAGACAAAAATGCAAATCCGTTGGCAGGCAAAGCAGCTTCATTATATGTATTCTGTCTGTGTATTTAGTTATTTGTTGAAGCTCTGCTATAAGGCTATATTCACACCTGTACATTTTCCATGTGGTGCAGCTATAGTGCACTGGCATTTAGGAATATTTTTCATTCAATAACATTCATGCCTGCAGAAGGTGCTGCATGCATGTAACCAGGGTTGCTGATAGGGCTACAGTCAGTAGTCCTGGACCAGGCCCTATTGGGCCAGTAGTAGTTCACAGATTCAACTTGCAAGAAGGATAAATGCCCATATATGAGGTCTGTGAGTGGCAGTGCTATCCCCATCCTACGAATGGACTGGCGATGAGGAGCTGAATCAGGAGCACCGAGAGAGCTGAGTAAGGAGGACAACCTCAATATGATGGGGGATTCACACCCCAGAATATCCCTTCTCTTCACATGCAGTGTTGCTGGCCCCTCTCTGTTCCTGCTGTGTTCAGTACGGAGAGATGAGTTCAATTTATTATCTCAACACTTCCACTCTCTGCTAATGCTTTTAAAAACACAACTGCATGATACAAGCCTTCTCATGTGTGTACCATTCATTTCCGCGGGCCTTCTTATTGATGAACACCAGGCAGTTCCAAAATTATAAAAAATGTCCATAACCCCATTCCACCCCCACCCCAGCTGTGAAAGGATCTACTACTTGTTTTATCTCTACAATGATATAGTCCTACCTAGACCTAAGCCCGCGACAGTCCTCTTCTTTCTAGTCCTAGAATATAGGTGGGTACTCCTACTTCATCACGCATAATGCAGGACCAATATTGGTTGTTGATTCTGCACTGGAATGATGACGTTGGGGAGATGGGTGGTGACCAGACAAGTTGGAGACCATAAAAAGAGTGGCTTTGAGGAAGCAGTGATCACAACCAGAGCTGGTGGGAGGAAGAACACGAAACCATGGACTAAGAAGGCAATATTCTGTGTTATTTCATCTCCTAGAAAGACAAGCATTAGATCCAGTAGCACCTGGAGGGTGGGGAGGGGCAATTTTAACAATTTGGTAGCCTGGACTTTCAAAAAATGCAGCATGTCATATATTTTAGGCCAGCTTCACCCCTATGCATGTATGGCATTGGAAGCATTTCAGAGGTGCTCTCTTAATTTCTAAAGGGCCTCTAAATGTGCATTCACACAATAAATAACACACAAGACCCTCAACTCACACTTCAGCATACACATACGCTGTTGCCCACAGTTGGGGGGACTATTTTCAACATTTATTGGTGTAAACTGAGCTAAGCTGCTAACAAGCACGCTAACTTGCATCACCTGAATGTGAACCCACCATGTGCGGATGAATGAGTTTTTGTTTAAAAATGGGTTTGCCATACTGAAGAGGAGAAACAAATTGCAGGTCCCAGTGCCCAATCAGGTCTTCATTTTTGCAGTATCAATGAAAACCAATACTGTCCTCCTGGGATCACTCACTGCCATCTTACTTCACCTCTACACTGTCACCTGCTATTACTTCTAAATGGAAAATATAACTGAACAACCAATATTATCCAAATTCCAGTTTGGGGCTGTAATGAGCCTCCCAGAGCCTCTAAAGAACAGAAGAGCCGTTAAAGGGTCCCAAAATGGGGGGTGCTTCATTTACATGTGACGTCTGGTGTGCTGAATCTTCCTGTACCTTCTGTGGATTCCAGTGCTGACATCTCCCTGCCATTTAATGGCACTGACCAAAACATTTCAGGGGCTCACATCAACCTATTAGTGTTGTGCCTAATAATGGGCACATCCAGTGTGCAACTCAGGAACTCTGTGCAGAGATCTCACTGAGAGAGTCCTCAGAAGATACAAAAATCCATTAGCTGGTGTAACTGGCCAGCATCTACCAAACACTGAAAATTCCATATTGGGTGAAGTGACCTTTAGAGTAAAGACAGCTAAAAGTAAAAACAAATTGTCACAGTTTTCTTCTATGTCCAGCTAACTGAGGCTGTCTTGAGGTTCCATAGTTTCTGCTTTGCCTTTATTAGTGATCTTAACACAAAATTCTCTGGAGCGTATGTCAGCCTGAAATAGAAAATGAATTAAACACGGAGGTTAAGATTGTGAAAGTCAGACTTTGCATGATATATATATATATACAGTCATGGCCGAAATTGTTGGCACCCTTGATATTTCTCCAGGAAATCATGTATTTCTCACGAAACGTATTGCATTAACACATGTTTTGCTATACACATGTTTATTCCCTTTGTGTGTATTGGGACAAAACAAAAAAAGGGAGGAAAGAAAGCAAATTCGACATAATGTCACACAAACCTCCAAAAATGGGCTGGACAAAAGTATTGGCACCCTTTCACAACTGCGGATAAATAAGAATGTTACAAGCATGTGATGCTCCTGTAAACTCACCTGGGGCAAGTAACAGGTGTGGGCAATATAGAAATCACACCTGAAAGCAGATAAAAAGGAGAGACGTTCACTTAACCTTTGCATTGTGTGTCTGTCTGTGCCACACTAAGCATGGACAACAGAAAGAGGAGACGAGAACTGTCTGAGGACCTGAGAACCAAAATTGTGGCAAAATATCAACAATCTCAAGGTTACAAGTCCATCTCCAGAGAACTAGATTTGCCTTTGTCCACAGTGCGCAACATTATCAAGAAGTTTGCAACCCATGGCACTGTAGCTAATCTCCCTGGTCGTGGACGGATGAGGAAAATTGATGAAAGATTGCAACGCAGAATAGTCCGGATGGTGGATAAGCAGCCCCAAACATGTTCCAAAGACATTCAAGCTGTCCTGCAGGCTCAGGGAGCATCAGTGTCAGCGCGAACTATCCGTCGACATTTAAATGAAATGAAACGCTATGGCAGGAGACCCAGGAGGACCCCACTGCTGACACAGAGACATAAAAAAGCAAGACTACAGTTTGCCAAAATGTACTTGAGTAAGCCAAAAGCCTTCTGGGAAAACGTCTTGTGGACAGATGAGACCAAGATAGAGCTTTTCGGTAAAGCACATCATTCTACTGTTTACCGAAAACGGAATGAGGCCTACAAAGAACAAAACACAGTACCTACGGTAAAATATGGTGGAGGTTCAATGATGTTTTGGGGTTGTTTTGCTGCCTCTGGCACTGGGTGCCTTGACTGTGTGCAAGGCATCATGAAATCTGAGGATTACCAAAGGATTTTGGGTCGCACTGTAGGGCCCAGTGTCAGAAAGCTGGGTTTGCGTCCAAGATCCTGGGTCTTCCAGCAGGACAATGACCCCAAACATACGTCAAAAAGCACTCAGAAATGGATGGCAAAGAAGCGCTGGAGAGTTCTGAAGTGGCCAGCAATGAGCCCAGATCTAAATCCCATTGAACACCTGTGGAGAGATCTTAAAATTGCTGTTGGGGAAAAGGTGTCCTTCCAATAAGAGAGACCTGGAGCTGTTTGCAAAGGAAGAGTGGTCCAAAATTCCGGGTGAGAGGTGTCAGAAGCTTATTGATGGTTATAGGAAGCGACTGATTTCAGTTATGTTTTCCAAAGGGTGTGCAACCAAATATTAAGTTAAGGGTGCCAATACTTTTGTCCAGCCCATTTTTGGGGTTTTGTGTGACATTATGTCATATTTGCTTTTCTGCCTCTGTTTTATATTTGTTCCAATACATACAAAGGGAATAAACATGTGTATAGCAAAACATGTGTTAATGCAATACCTTTTTTGTGTGAAATACTTGATTTTCAGGAAAAATATCAAGGGTGCCAACAATTTCGGCCATGACTGTATATATATATATATATATATATATATATATATATATATATATACTGTATATAAAGCAAAAAAAGGTCAATTTATACTCCTGCTTTAAGGAACACACCATCCAGTGCAGAGCAGAACATATTAAAGGACAGGTACACTTGAAATCAAAGTGCACTTATCCCTTTTACCTCTTGATCTTGATCTAACCCACCTTCCCTTTTCAGGCCACAGTCTGTGGTGTTAGGCTTCACATACATGAGCCTACCCTGACTGCCGGCTGTGGGAAAATGCAAATCATGGCAAAAAAATGTGGTACTATGGTTGGGCCACGTTTTGCAATTTCCCGCGGTCGGCGGTCAAAACGTTCCTATGCTGAGCGCAATTCTTCCGCGTTCAGAAGAGGGAGGTTTAACCTCACCTAAATGCGGCAGCACCTAAACTCTGGTAAAAGCCTATGTGCACATGGACACATAGGCTTTTATGGAGTTGAGTTTAGGAGCTTTGGCAAAAAGACGCCAAAAGCTTCTAAACTCGAGTTTAGGAGCTGCTCTTGTACATGAAGCCTTAATGACACCCTGACTGCGCCTGCACGTTACAGCCCCATAGAATTCTATGGGGCCATTTTCTTTCATCGCGGGCCTCAGGACACAGCCCTGAGAAGTATAATGTAGTGCGCAGATGCACCCAGGACAATGAGACTTGCTAAATGTAAACAAACGGCAGAGGCCACCATTATCAGATCAAGGTAAGGATGCATCTGGGGAAGGGACGGTAAGTTTGGTCAGGGGTAAAGGGTTAAAAGGGATAAGCACAGTCGGTGGCACAGTGGCTTAGTGGTTAGCACATCTGCCTTGCAGTAAATGGGTCATGAGTTCGATTCCCGACCATGGCGCCTCCTGCTTGGAGTTTGCATGTTCTCCCTGTGCCTGCGTGGGTTTCCTCTGGGTACTCCGGTTTCCTCCCACACGCCAAAGACATGCTGGTAGGTTAATTGGATCCTGTCTAAATTGGCCCTAATATGTGTATGTAAGTTAGGGACCTTAGACTGTACACCCCTTGAGGGTTAGGGACTGATGTGAATGTTCAATATATATATGTGTAAAGCGCTGTGTAAATTGACAGCACTATATAAGTACCTGAAATAAATTAATAAATAAATAAGCACACTTTGTCTTAAACTGTACTTATTCTTTAAATACAAACTCCAGCCAAAACTTAAATTTATTTATTTAGTTATTTTGGAGTGAAGAAGATTTACATTAGATTTCCCCTCACTCCCTGTATTGGAGACAATTTGACATAATGTCAGTGGAACAGGAAGTAGATGAAATCCCCCAGCAGGGTAACAATACACAATCTGGCAGAGGGGATAATACAAGCATGAGACAGATGAAGAACATGGTCTTCCTAGATAGAATATTTCTGCATAGGGACACATTACCTCTACAGAGGGCTGTACCTACCCAATTCCAATACTACACCACCTATTAGTAATAACACAATGGTAATTTTGTGTATACAGTGGTTAAATAGTATAATGATCAGAGTTTCAGAGAAAAGTTAGAGGGAAATTTATAATATGCGATTACGAATTTCTAACACACGAATAACATTTTTAGGTTTTATGAGATTTACAAGTTTGTTCAAAGGCTATAGGAAGATCCATTATAATGTCACATATAGTGAAGTGTACATAACAATCTATACCCAGTTAAAACAGAAGTAAAGTGATGTGAGAGCAGGCAGCATGTGCCATAATGTCTGAGTATGCACAGCTTGCTTGCACATTATGACACACTTACCTCTGGGTCTGCTCTCCTCCAGGTTTGTGAGGTCCGAGATCCCCATGTCCACTCTGTGCCCCCCCAAGTACCTTTTCCTTTGCCTCTACTTCCAGGTCTGTCATCTTCTTGTTTCACCCATTAGGCAGGCACTGATTGTATATCTCCTGCGCATGTGTGCTGAAGTTACATAATATTGGCTTCCAATTTCATTCCTGACATCTATAAGATGCCGGGGATTCTCCTTGCATGCATGTGCCTCAGTCACTATGAAGTATATCAGTAACACGGATGTTGTTTTCTTTGGGTTCTGACACTTCCAGGAATGTGTTAGTGGTGTTTTTTTAGTAGACAACATGAACTGCTTCCTCCCTCCAGGCCTACAAGGGAGTCCTACTGCTGCTTGTGAAGTCTCCAATGCAGTGAGGGAAAGCAGGTTCTCTCCTACACACAGGAACAAGCTTTGGAGTCTTCACAGGCAGCAACCAGACACCCTGACTTTTGTTTTTTAATGTATTTTCCATTAAATAGTAAATTTAATGCAATGTGAATAATGTGTAAATGGTTGCTCTAAATGTGAATTATAATACATAGGCTATACCATTCGATCTATTTGGGTTAGGGTTTATGACCACTATTGTGAAGCCCACGACCCTCTGTATCAATTGAACACATTCAGGAGATTCAGTGCCTTGAAAAAGTCTTCATACCCCTTGAAATTTTCCACCTTTGTCATGTTACAACCAAAAACGTAAATGTATGTTATTGGGATTTTACGTGATAGACCAACACAAAGTGGCACATAATTGTGAAGTGAAAGGAAAATGATAAATGGTTTTCAAAATTATTTACAAATAAATATGTGAAAAGTGTGGTGTGCATTTGTGTTCAGTCCCTTTTACTCTGATACCCCTAACTAAAATCTAGCAGAACCAATTGCCTTCAGAAGTCACCTAATTAGTAAATAAAGTCCACCTGTGTGTATTTTATTCTCAGTATATATAAACAGTATATAAACAGCTGTTCTGTGAATCCCTCAGAGCTTTGCTAGAGAACATTAGTGAACAAACAGCATCATGAAGACCAAGGAACACACCAGTCAGGGATAAAGTTGAGGAGAAGTTTAAAGCAGGGTCAGGTTAAAAATAATATCACAAGTTTTGAACATCTCAAGGAGCACTGTTCAATCCATCATCCAAAAATGGAAAGAGTATGGCACAACTGCAAACCTACCAAGACATGACTGACCACCTAAACTGACAGGCCGGGCAAGGAGAACATTAATTAGAGAAGCAGCCAAGAGGCCCATGGTAACTCTGGAGAAGCTGCAGAGATCCACAGCTCAGATGGGAGAATTTGTCCACAGGACAACTATTAGTTATGCACTCCACAAATCTGGCTTTTATGGAAGAGTGGCAAGAAGAAAGCCATTGTTGAAAGAATGCCATAAGAAGTCCCGTTTGCAGTTTGCGAGAAGCCATGTGAGGGACACAGCAAACATGTGGAAGAAGGTGCTCTGGTCAGATGAGACCAACATTCAACTTTTTAGCCGAAGAGCAAAACGCTATGTGTGGCGGAAAACTAACACTGCACATCACCCTGAACACACCATCCCCACTGTGAAACATGGTGGTGGCGGCATCATGTTGTGGGGATACTTTTCTTCAGTAGGGACAGGGAAGCTGGTCAGAGTTGATGGGAAGATGGATGGAGCCAAATACAGGGCAATCTTTAAAGAAAACCTAGGGCGGAGGTTCACCTTCCAGCAGGACAACGACCCTAAACATACAGCCAGGGCTACAATGGAATGGTTAAGATCAAAGCATAGTCATGTTTTAGAATGATCCAGTCAAAGTCCAGACCTAAATCCTATTGAGAATCTTTGCAAGACTTGAAAATTGCTGTTCACAGATGCTCTCCATCCAATCTGACAGAGCTTGAGCTATTTTGCAAAAAGGAATGGGCAAAAATATCCCTCTCTAGATGTGCAAAGCTGATAGAAACATCCCCAAAAAAGACTTGCAGCTGTAATTGCAGTGAAAGGTGGTTCTACAAAGTATGGACTCAGGGGGGCAGGATACATATGCATGCCACACTTTTCAGATATTTATTTGTAAAAAAGGTTGAAAACCATTTATCATTTTCCTTCTACTTCACAATTATGTGCCACTTTGTGTTGGTCTATCACATAAAACTCCAATAAAATAAATTTACGTTTTTGGTTGTAACATAACAAAATGTGGAAAATTTCAAGGGGTATGAATACTTTTTCAAGGAACTGTATGTTTGGTTTTTATTTTCATGGTGCTAAAAAAGGTGTTTCCACCATGAAGGGATGGGGACCTGAGACATTTGCTCCTGAAAGGGAGGTTTTATGGACTTTCAGGCTGAAGGCAAGGGTTCCCTTTGGCCTTTAATCATAGATGGTATTTGGCTGTGCATGTGTAAGCACATTGACGTTCTACTTAAACACTATTAAATGCTACATTTAAGCACTGACAACCAGGACTTAAAAAGAAGAAGAGACCCTAATGGTCTGCCATAAATGCTTCCCTTGCCTGTCAGTGGTATTATACACTGGGTCACGCATGCGCAGCTCAAGAGTACATTTACAGCACTCTCTCGGTGCCGTGATGGAGTGACTTCTATGTGACTAAACAGAATGAACCCAGAAGGAAAACAGCGAGAAGATTTAAGAGTGCAAGCACTGACAGAGCAGCACTGGAGAGCATCCTTTGACAGGTACATCTGTCATAATGCTCTAGTATGCAGCGCATTCTAGCACATTATCCACTTGAAGACCAAGCCTTTTCTGACACTTTTTGTTTACATTTAAAAATCTGTATTTTTTGCTAGAAAATAACTATTTTTGCTAGAACCCCCAAAGATGATACATATTTTTTTAGCAGAGAGCCTAGAGAATCAAATGGCGATGGCAATTTTTATTTCACATGGTATTTGTGCAGCGGTTTTCAAACGCAGTTTTTTAGAAAAAAAAATAATTTTAATGAAAAAAAAAAACAAAACACAAATATATAACCTAATTGTTTGGTAAAATATGAAAGATGATGTCACGTTGAGTAAATAGATACCTAACATGTCATGCTTTAGAATTGCACACTCTCTAGAATTACAGAGTTACAGTCTAGCGCTAGAATTATTTCTGTCACTATAAAGTTCACAGCGTTATCGCACATGTAGGGTGAGAACACTGTTTACATATGAATGCATAAATTCATTCTGTGCAGGAGCAAGGAGGGATGGGAGTGTTTCAAATGTAATGTAAACATGCCCTGTGATATGATGCCAGGTCCTCTTTATGGAGACATCTGGGGTCAATAAGACCTCCAAATGTCTCCTCTACCTTTAAAAGCATAAGATAAAAAAAAAAAAAAAAAACGATTAATCTTATGCTTTGAAAATAAAAAATATTGTTTACATGTGGCCCAGACTGGAAATTACCTCGCTTCAGTCCTCCTAGATCATAGAGGTGAGTCCAGCTGCCACAACAGATCAGATCTCTGGTAAGAACAGTAAGCCCAGGAAACATCAGCAAATAGCAGAAGGGGGGCATCCACTCCCACTGCTTTTAAAAGCAATCCAGCAGCTAATCAGCTGCTCGGATCGCTTTTATGTGAAAGGGAAACGACTGCTGAAAAAATAAAAACCAGGGTTATGGCTGATAGCTTAAGCCATAACCCTGGTATATAGCACTTAAAAAACTGCAATGTATATACAGTTGTGCTCAAAAGTTTACATACCCTGGCAGAAATTGTGAAATTTTGGCATTGATATTGAAAATATGACTGATCATCCCAAAAAATGCTCTTTTATTGAAGGATGATGATCACATGAAGCCATTTATTACCAAATAGTTGTTTGACTTCTTTTTAAATCATAATGATAACTGAAATCACCCAAATGGCCATGATCAAAGGTGTCCATCCCCTGGAATGTTTGGCCTTGGTACAGACACACAAGGTGACACACATGGGTTAAAATGCCAATTAGAGGTTAATGTCCCACATCTGTGGCTTTTTAAATTGCAATTAGTGTATAAATAGTCAATAAGTTTGTTAGCTCTTACGTGGAAGCACTGACTAGGTTAGATACTGAGCCATGGGGATCAGAAAAGAACTGTCAAAAGTTCTGCATAACAAGGTAATGGAACTTTATAAAGATGGAAAAGGACATAAAAAGATGTTCAAAGCCTTGAATATGCCAATCAGTACTGTTAAATCACCTATTAAGAAGTGAAAAGTTCAGGGATTTCTTGATACCAAGCCAAGGCCAGGTAGACCAAGAAGAGTGCAGCCATAACTGACAGAAGAATTGTCCAGGATTCAAAGAAAAACCCACAGGCAACCTCAAAAGAAATACAGGCTGCTCTGGAAAAAGATGGTGTGGTTGTTTTTAGAGAGTACAAAACGGTGAAAAATGAGCTGTTTGGTTGAGGTGCCAGAAAGAAGCTTTTACTGCACCAATGCCACAAAAAAGCCCGGTTACAATATGCCTGACAACACCTTGACATGCCTAACCAGGCCTTTGTGTCTCATTGATGCAGTAAAGGCTTCTTTCTGGCACCTCAACCATGCAGCTCATTTTTGTTCAAGTGTCATCATATTGTGCTCCTTCAAAACAACCACACTGTCTTTTTCCAGAACAGCCTGTATTTTTCTTGTGGTTACTTATGGATTTCCCTGTGTATCCCGAACAAATTATTCTGGCAGTTGTGATTGCAATCTTTCTTGGTCTATCGTTACTTGGCTTGGTATCAAGAGGTCCCTGAATTTTCTTCTTAGTGGAAGTGATGACTTCGATCGTTAGAATGGGACTCCGTGCTCTCAGTGACACCACGGTCTTTGTGATGGGAGCGCGCCGTGAGGTCCCCACAACAAGATGAAGCTGTCACTTTGCCCTGAATGGTCAAAATACTGGTGAACTTTAAAATCATTTAACCTATTATTCTATACTGATACCTTTCTACCACAAGCACAGTATGTATACAAGACCCCCTTTACAATATGCCCTACCTGTCTGATGGGCTCAGGAACTCTGTACTTGCAGCAAGAACGGACCACATTCATGGCTGTGTCCAAACCTATCTTATGGCCGACTGAGACGTAGATGGGTTTAGAGCTTTTTTTGCAGCTTTTTAATGCCTAGGTGGAGAAAAGAGAGAAATAAAAACATGTTTTTAAATCTTGAATTTAATATTTTTTCTTCTGTAAGTTAAGAATTACCGGGCTGTAGTGAGAGACTGATTTCTGGTTACTGTATATGTACTGTCATCGCTCAGGGCTGTGTATAAAGGTTGGAGCAGGCTTCATCACACATGAGAGCCCACAGCTGTGTGGTAAGCTCACATGCTGTAGCTAAAATGAACTTTAGAGGAACTTTACCTCCCACAACCTTTTTTGTTCTTTTTAACTCCTCTTACATGTTATGCAGTGTTGCCCTCAATCCACATACTCACATGCCTAGCAAATCCAACGTTGTCCTGCTGCAATCACTGCTCTGCTGCCACAGCCCATGTTCCACATAGCCATCAGCTTCTTTAATGTCATCAGGGGCTAGTTGCTCTTCTGGGTTCTTGCCACAGGCCCCCGATGATGCACACCAAGGATGGCCCACTGTTGCTGTGTGTCCCTTCGGCAGCCTCCTGTGATATGTGATACAGATATCCCAGGAGGCTGCGGGAGCAGAGACAGATCATTCTTGCCTAGACCAGAATAGAGGCAGGGATGAGTCTAAGTAGAGAAAATTTTAAAAAGTGAGGAAAAAATGTTTTTTTTTTTTACAATATGGAAGGGAGTAGGGGTGTAGCTCGCTGTGGGTTAGACTTGGAATACCAAACATGAGGAACTGAGCAGGAACATGGCGTCTACTGCTTGCATACTAAGGTTGGGTCAACTACGAAAGAGGCAGGCTAGCAAATGCCAGACAGAGGCTCGTCCCATGCCCTGCAAGCTACATATGTCTAGAAGAGAGGAAAGGTGGCAGCACTCTGTAAAATTCAACACTGAAAAGTTTATTGGTCTGGAAAAATAAAAAAGGAGACCCAACCTAGGACCTCCTCTGCTGATGCATTTTACCCACAAGATGGGGCTTAAAGTGGTTCTAAAGGCTCAAGGTATAAAAAACCTTTTGTGTGCAGCAATCCCCCCCCCCCCAATCCCCCCCCCCCAATACTCACCTATGACTCTTCTTGATGTGTACTGGAGTCTCAGCTCCCTGTTCTCATTGGCTGAGACAGAACCAGGAGCCATTGACTATTGTCAATCACAGCCAGTAAGCCAATAAGAAGAGAGAGGGGGTGGGGAAAAGCTCTGTGTGTGAATGGACACACGGAGCAACGAGTACCCCCTTAGCAAACTTCTTGCTGTGGGGGCAACCAACAGGAGAGAGGAGCCAGGAGAGCCTGTGGGGGATCCGGGAAGAGGAGGTCCAGGCTGCTCTGTGCAAAACCACTGCACACACTAAGAGAGTATAGACATGTTTGTTATTTTTTTCTTTTAAAAAAATAAGACTTTAGAATCACTTTAATCATTGATCAAAGAAGAGCAGCACTGGAAATATATTTGTGCACAGTGATGAAACTAGTGCAGACAGATATAAACACACAGACATTCTATTCAGCACTATCACTTAAAAAATTAGCATTAGTAAACCATCTCTAATGTTAAGGACTATACAGTATATTAACCTCTAAGGACAAAGATACCTGCTAAAAGAAAGTTTAATACACACAGAATTAAAAACCAAGGTAAGTAAAAACATGCAAGATATGACAATTAAAATAAAACAATGTATTAAAAACAAGGGGGGGAAAGGGGAGAGGGGAATGGGAAAGGAAAGGAAAGAAAAGGAAAGGAAAGGAAAGGAAAGGGAAAGGAAAGGAAAGGAAAGAAAGAAAGGAGAAAGGAAAGGAGAAAGGAAAGGAAAGGAAAGGAAAGGAAAGGAAAGGGAAAGGAAAGGAAAGGAAAGGAGAAAGGAAAAAAAGGGGAAAGGAAAGAAAGAAAGGAAAGGAAAAGGAAAGGAAAGGAGAAAGGAAAGGAAAAAAAGGAAAGGAAAGAAAGGAAAATAAAGGGGAAAGGAAAAAAGGAAAAAGGAAAAGGAAAGGAAAATAAAGGAAAGGAAAGGAAAGGAAAAGAAAGGAGAAGGAAAGGAAAGGAAAAGAAAGGAAGGGAAGGGAAAAGGGAGGAATGCATTGGAGGAGAAGGTCCCAGGCAGGAAAATCTTGTCTGGATCAATAACGTTTTCAGCATTGAATCTTAAGAACTGCAACTGGCTATCTTTTCTCCTGGAGTCAGGTGGCACTAAAGTTAGTCCAAGCCACAGATATAAGATGTTAAGTTAAAGGGATCTATCCTCTGCACAGGAGCATTGCTCCCCTAAACACCATAATGAAGCTTCTACTGCCGTAAATTTGACCTGACTGCTTTTGTGGACTAATTTTGCAGCAAACAAAATTTGGACTTGACCCTATGTTTTTTGAGTAGATGTCCAAAGAAAAGTATGCTTGAGGTTGGCAGTCCTAATACAACTATTTCCCAATCAGGCAACAATCCATCTCATGTCTATGGGACATATCTAAACCGTGTAAAACCACAATCCACTCCTTTTCCTGTGGTTAGTATGTTTCTTTATTGTAGAGGTACTTCTTGAACTGGTGTTTTAAGAACCAAATGCCAAAACACTCACCGCACCCAGGATTTGGCCAGAGCTGCCCTTCAGGTGGAAATATTCTCCTCCATCATCTAACTGTTTTGCCTGGAAAATAGTTATTACAGAACTAAATGAACAGACATTTAGGACAATAAATAAAGACTAAGATGACCAACTTACTTTGTATATAATTGCGAGTTTCAAACTAAACACAACATTTAGTAATATGCATTAAAGGATGATAAAAATGATGATATCTTTCACTAATGATTACATGATTATTTGGTGCTTATATGCTAATGTTAGGGTTTTTTATGTATTAACAGGTTTGTTTGCTAGTATGACTTTGCAGAAAAAATGTTAAAAGAACAAATTGTTCTCCTACTGGTTCTTGGAAAGTCTTGTTGTGCAATGTTGAGAGACAGATAGGCAGCTCATACATTAATCATTTTTTTTTTCATTCAACCAGCAAGTTGAATGAAAAATATGATAGGATTCCTTTATCCACATAGTGTGCATAGGGGATCAATCCCGCTAAGCTATTGTGTTCTTGAAGTGATTTCCCACCATCAGAATGCTAAGTTCTTCTGACTGTAGCCAGCGGAACTGATCGATTGGTAAAAACCTGTCTGGTTGTACAGAAGTCGATTGGTAGATTGATTTATGTACAACTAGGGTTCCCATACATGGATTGAGATTTGGCTTTTCCCTGCTGAACTGGACAAATTTCAATCCATATATGGCCAGTTTTAGTCTCCATGTTCTACAGTGAGGGTCACAGTCAAGCTGATAAGGTGTTCAAAAATAACAAAAATAGTTGTCATTTGCAATTGTTGTTTTGCTTCTGCAAATTCTTCAGTAAAAAGTTCCAAAAGAAAATGTTTATGATTTGGAAGATCCTACATGGCAACCGTCCATGATTTGGGCCTAAGGCCTCTTTCACATGGACGTTCTGATCAGGTCCGCCAGCCCGTTTTTTCAGGCGCACCCAATCAGAACCTCCATTCTCCTCTATGGAGCGACGGGTGTAAACGGACATGTGTCAGTTTACGCCCGCCAACATCCAATCTGATCTGACCCACAAAAAAGGGATGGATGGGGATCCAATTCCACTTCCGTCTGTCAGGTTGGGTCTGATGGAAATAGACAGGCGGTCAGTTTTCAACCGACTGCCCATTGAGGAGAGCAAGCTGCTCTTGCTCTGCGTGATCTGCAGAGAGATCACCCGCTGAGCAAGTGGATCTGCTAAACGGATCCGCTCCATGTGAAAGGACCCTAAAAGTCTTTTATTTTGACCCTCAGATCCCTTGGCATGACACCTGCCATGTCCAAGTATATCCAAGGGGTTTTTATTTCTCTACTTTCTCTTCTTTATTTTTATTCTATAACTTTTCTTTTCTAAATAAACTTTCAAAATCTGAGATGTGAGCTCATTTGCCAGAAGACTATCTTCTCACTACTTTTTCCACACATTCTACTGGCAAGTTACTCCACCCTAAACCTGGAGCAATCTAGTATTCTTTACAAAGGAGGGCCAGTTCACTGTTTTAGTTATTTAACCAATAAAGGCCTCTATATCTCAAGAATCATCATCATATTTTATGACTTCATAGATGTCATGTACATTCTGCGCAGACTGTAAATTCTCTCTAACAAGATGAAGTACACAGGCTGATCATATGACCGTTCAGCTGATACTATGATGGGGGAACTCTGTAGCCTGTCATAGTCTCTATTACCTGTTCCTTGTGTGCCTCATTATTTTCCAGTCCATCCACCTGGAGCAAATTCTTGGCCACTCCGATTGTTGGGAGATCAGTGAGGATCCCAAGGTGGCAGGCCACTCCAAACCCTGGACACAGGAACATGGAACATAATGGATTCATTAAAGTGGTTTAGATATATATGTTAACTCTTCACACCGGCCGTACACATATATTATGCGGCCTTTCTGTGGGTGGTCTTTAACACCGAGAGGCAGCATATACTGTATGCGTACCATAATGTAGTTCAAAAAACAATGCTACGACACAGGGTGGCTACTGTGGGTCAGGGGCGGACTGACCATTTGGAAATTCGGGCACTGCCCGAGGGCCTGGGGTCAGTAGGGGGCCCCATGAGATGCCCCTGGTACCTTTTTCATAGGCTTTTTTGAGTTTGGGCAAGGACATGGGGCCCCATGATCCCCTATTGCCCGGGGGCCCCATAAGTTGTCAGTCCGCCCCTGCTGTGGGTACATGAAACTTGTAAAAAAGTACCAAATTCCAAACAATTGCCGTATTTAGAAATTTGAACACATGGACTTTTCAGGTACCACAATATTCATAATGTAAATAATGCTGTGCCAAGAGCGCCCTGCACACTCCTGGCACAGTTATTGGCAGGTAGCAGAAAGCACACGATCGCTACTTTCCAAACATGTGACCACTGTGACAGCCAATCACGGTGGAAACCTCCACATCCTGGCGTCTGAAACCTCATGAAGGACCGGAAGGCACAAATAAGACAGGGCGAACGTTATTAGGCAATTTTTTCTCCACGTCCAATGTTATTCATACAATCTAGAGCAGGGATGCTCAACCCGTGGCCCACAGGGAGCCCTCTGATCTCATGACCTCAAACCAGGGAAGCACATGCCCATACTCTGAGATGGCGGGTCAGCAAAGCCAAATCATGATCAAAGGGTTGCCAGCTCGTCACTCCAGAGCATCAGAGTACATGGAGCCAGCACCATCAGTGAAGGAAGCAGTTGGCCACGGAGGAAGAAAGAGCTGCATAAGTCGATGCTTCCTCTGTCAATGAAGGCCCTCACCTAGCCTGATGTGAAGACATGTAAAGATGGTGCGGTGACAATGAGAGTCGTGTAATGCTTAAAGATCATATGAACTTTTACTTTGCATACGTAAAACCCTTTCCAAGTGCATTAAAACAAAAGGAGTGAAAAGTCATACAAATTGTTTTCTTTAGAAAACAGCTACAACCTGAGAAGAAAAGGCTGCCCCCTGCCAGCAGCTGCAGCGAAGGAACCTTGCTCTCTGTGTGGAAACAGTGGCCTCTCAAAAGTGGTCCTACACACCCCTTTCTGTGTCAGAACTGGAGCTCTCCAATCAGTAGGGAGCATGAGCATTTAGTACGTAAGACTTGTGCATGGCCGTCCACCTAAAAACTGACAGGCCTGGCAAGGAGAGCATTAATCAGAGAAGCAGCCAACAGGCCCATGGTAACTCTGGAGGAGCTGCAGAGATCCACAGCTTAGGTGGGAGAATCTTTCCACAGGACAACTATTATTCGTGGATTCCAAAAATCTGGCCTTTATGGAAGAGTGGCAAGAAGAAAAACATTGTTGAAAGAAAGCCATAAGAAGTCCTGTTTGCAGTTTGTGAGAAGCCATGTGAGGAACACAGCAAACAAGTAGAAGAAGGTGCTCTGGTTGAGACCAAAATGGAACTTTTTGGCCTAAAAGCAAAACGCTATGTGTGGCGGAAAACTAACACTGCACATCACCCTGAACACACCATCCCCACCGTGAAACATGGTGGTTGCAGCATCATGTTGTGGGGATGCTTTTCTTCAGCAGGGACAGGGAAGCTGGTCAGAGTTGATGGGAAGATGGATGGAGCCAAATACAGGGCAATCTTAGAAGAAAACCTGTTAGAGTCTGCAAAAGACTTGAGGCAGAGGCGGAGGTTCACCTTCCAGCAGGACAATGACCCAAAATATGCAGCCAGAGCTACAATGGAATGGTTTAGATCAAAGTATATTCATGTTTTAGAATGGCCCAGTTACAGTCCAGACCTAAATCCAATTGAGAATCTGTGGCAAGACTTGAAGATTGCTGTTCACAGACACTCCCCATCCAATTTGACAGAGCTTGAGCTATTTTGCAAAGAAGAATGGGCAGAAATGTCCCTCTCTAGATGTGCAAAGCTGGTAGAGACATCCCCAAAAAGACTTGCAGCTGTAATTGCATCGAAAGGTGGTTCTACAAAGTACTGATTCCAGCGGGCTGAATACAAATGAATGCCACACTTTTCACAGATTTATTTGTAAAAAATTTTGAAAACCGTTTATTACTTTCCTTCCACAATTATGTGCCACTTTGTGTTGGTCTATCACATAAAATCCCAATAAAATACATTTATGTTTTTGGTTGTAACATGACAATGCAAAAAAAAAGAAACCAAATTTTTTTAAAATCTGTTTTGACCGTTGTTAGTTTTACAAGAGAAGACTGTAAAATCACTCTACCATAAATAAAAAATAAATAATTTTATTTTATAATTAAAATTACATTAAACACTTCAAGTCCAGACACTTTCACCCCATTCAAGTCCAGGCCAGGCCAATTTTCAGTGCTGTCGCACTTTGACTGACAATTGCGTGGTCATGCAACACTGTACCCAAATATAATGTTTAGCATTTTTTCTGAGACAGAACTTTCTTTTGGTAGTATTTATTCAACACTTGGATTTTTATTGTTTTGCTATATAAATGAAAAATGACCGAAAATTTTGAAAAAAACGTGTTTTTCTTATTTCAGGTACTTATATAGCGCCATCAATTTACGCAGCGCTTTACATACATATATTGTACATTCACATCAGTCCCTAACCCTCAAGGAGTGTACAATCTAAGGTCCCTAACTCACATTCATACACAGACTAGGGGCAATTTAGACAGGATCCAATTACCCACCAGCATGTCTTTGGAGTGTGGTAGGAAACCGGGAGTACCCGGAGGAAACCCACGCAGTCACAGGGAGAACATGCAAACTCCAGGCAGGTGGTGCCGTGGTTGGGATTTGAACCAGCGACCCTAGTACTGCCAGGCGGAAGTGCTAACCATTTAGCCACTGTGCTGCCCATTTTCTTATAAACTTTTGCAAACAAATAATCTTGGCCAAAAGGTATTCTGCTACCTTTTTGGTAAAAAAAAAAATAATCAGTATATAGAAAAATAATTATAATTTTTCAAAAACATTTGTTTTACATTTTTATTTATTTATTTTTTTATATTATTTATTTATTTATGTTTTTTTTGGGGGGGGGCGGGGGGTTACATACCATCACCGTAGAAGTACAGTGTCACCATAGTGACACTACTACTTGTGGGGGTGTGATAAAGATTTTTTTTTTTTACACTGATTGCTTTTACACCCATAAAGGCTGTAAAAGCAATCATTTCTCCTCCTCTTTGGCTGCATTCCGGCAGCCATTAAGAAATACTGTGAGAGCTGTAATTGGTCACAGCTTATCACATGGTACAAGGTTGCTGTGAATGGCCTTATACCATGTGACCTTTGTGATCATTCACAGATTTCACAAGTAGTAAACAATGATGTCAGGAAGTGACATCTTGTGTACTACTATTCATGTGATCACTGATTAGCCAATCAGTGATCACATGAATCGGGACCTCACACAGCAGCCCTGTACAATGATCTTTGTTCGGTGGAAGGAGCACTGTGCATGCTCCGAAACACGTCGACGCTCCATGGCCACATCACTTCCGGTCCGTGGACAGCGTGCTTTCCAACGTGTGCTCCAGCAGTCAGGATAGAGCTGCGGCCATCTTTGACACCTCTTCTCAAGCTCCCACTGCAGCTGCTGGCTGGCACATCGCTTAGAGGACAGAGCCCTGCTATTACATTAGAGCCTGTTTGTACTACTACATTTTAAGTGTTTTTAACTGCTTTTATTAAAAGTTGACCTTGGAATACTGCACTTAGAAGCGCCTTCCTGTTTTATCTTCTACTCCAGTAACCCAAACCCAAAAAAAATGCAAGAATATAAAATTTTAAAGTCTTACCCCGATGGTGCAGGATGCCATTACCGTCTACAAGCAGCACCTGGAAAATAACAAGATCTATTTGTTGTGTTTACGGTTATCACCGAGAGTGAAAGAGAAAGAAAATTCTAAATTCTGGGTTATCGCCAGAACAGGATTAGAGTATAGGTCCCTAGTCATACTGGATGCGAATTGGAATGTGATTTGCAGGCAATGCAACTTGCAAATCGCATGCCAAGTCACACCCTGCTGTTTGCAATTAGAGCGATCATATTGGTGCGGTCCCGACTTGGTCAGAGCCGCACCGATTTCTAAAGTAGTGCATGCACTACTTTTGATGAGATTTGCATATACATCTATGTCAGATGTCTTGCAAATCGCACCTGAAATCGGCATGTTGCCCGACTTTGAAATTGTGCGACTTCACTGTAAGTCGCACGATTTCAAAGTCAGGAATGATGTGACCGGGGTGTAAATCTTCCACTGGGGACGCTAGTTCTGGTGGCAATCAGGAATTCCCTAATTTTGGGAGCATTTCCTCTCACTTCCTGCTGTGGTTATGGCGCAGGATGTAAAGGTAAATCTCCTCAATGGGACACAGCATGATTAGCTGCAGTGAAGGCCAGAGGAAACATAGGAGGGTTTAAAAGACCCCTGATATCTCTACAAAGAGGACTGGTCATCTACCCAATGCTATCCCACAGGGAGCGTGTTAGCCCCCTTGCAATAGGAATAAAGTGAAATAAAGAAATAAACATTTAAAAAGTGTAAAAAAAAATGATATGTAATAAATAAAAATAATTTGAAAAAAATGTTAAAAGCACACTGATTACCCTCGTACAAACACCCCAATGCAAATATGCAGCATAGGGCGAGCATGAACGTCTAAAAATAAATTGCGCCACATATAAAATTTATGCTATCAGAGTGAGGACAACAGAAATTGGTTTATAATCACTTCAGCCCCAAGCCATTTCTAACACTTTTTGCTTACATTTTAAAATCAGTATTTTTTGCTAGAAAATGTCTTAGAACTCCCAAACATTATATATTTTAAGCAGAGACCCTCAAGAATAACTTGGTGGTTTTTGCATTATT